CTCTAAGCCCCTCCGTCGTCCCCGTGCCTGGGGGCGGGGGGAGCAGCTCGGGCACGGGGGTAGCTCCCTGCGCAGGGCCGGTGGGCAGTGGAGGTGCTGATCGCGCAGGTAGCTTGTTGCACGCAGGGGCAGATGGGGGAGCTCACCGGGCAGACGGGGAGGAGGGCAGAGGGGGGAGCTCCTTGCACTGGGGAGGGAAGCAGCAAGGGGGAGCTCCCTGCACAGGCGGGGCAGAGAGGAGTAGACACTCTCAAGGGGAGCGGGTTATGCAAGGCGTGCGGAGGAATTGTGCGGCTCACCAGTTTCAGGGCGTCGAAGAGTAGAGGGGATACCCTTGTTGGGATTGAGAACAGGCCGACTACCAGAGCCAACCCTCCTTCCCCCTTTGTTTCCAGCCGAGGGTGAAATAAAAGTACAATGAAGACCACACTCCAGAAAGTAGCTAGTTAAATATCCGGTCGCCCCTGCTGCTGCCTCGACCGCATGAATGAGGGACGCTTCAAACCAGGCTGAGGACGATTGATTGTACATAAATGTCTCTGAAACACAAAATCTCTCCCCTCCCACCCCCAACCCTAGAGGGCGAGGACTGATTTAAATTTCATTCTCGGTGAGGCAGCTTTCCTCCTCTCTCCCTCCTCCCCCCCAAGGCAGGTCTGCAAATCTTTTCTCTGTTCCATCGCAGCAAAACCAGAGGAGGTGCCTGGTGTCTATCCATTTATCGTTCTTTATGTGTAATTTTACAAAGAAATGCTCCAAGCTACCGTAGCCTTATTTGTATTCTATTTCTTAAGGGAAATTTTAGATATGATTTAAGTAACCTGACTGGCCGTTTCAGAAGGCATTAATTACCTAATGCTCTGCCTCTACCAGTTTGTTTCTTAATAATGCTACTGTATATATTTTTTTAGGATCTCAAAGCACTGTAAACATTAAGGAAGTCTCTTAAAACCTCTCCTCTATAATATAATATATCCATCCTTACCTCTATTTTTCAGATGTGAAAATTGAGGTGTGGAATTTATATCAACATTTTCAAACATAAAGTAATTCTGACTGCTCAATCTGAGTGCCCAATTTCCAGTACCTCAATTTTAACTTTCAGTGTTGTAGATCATTATCCATAGTGCTTGCTGAAGACATTTTGGAAGGTGTGTATATTCAACACTTTTCTATGTCAAGCTCTGGAACTCACAGGACAAGGAATATTAGTGGAGACTTGACAATCTGGGCCTAATGACGCCACTAAAGAACACAGGAAGTTGAGGCAGCTCAGCAGTGGGAACAAGCTCCCAGAAGTCCTGACTTCTCCTTCTCTAACTCAGTAGAGGGGTAGCCGTGTTAGTCTGAATCTGCAAAAGCGACGAGGAGTCCTGTGGCACCTTATAGACTAACTGAAGTGTAGGAGCGTAAGCTTTCGTGGGCAAAGACCCACTTCGTCAGATGCAACTCAGTAGATCATTCTTCTCCGTGAGAATGATCAATAAAACACAATTATTGCTATACGTTCTAGCTTGTATTATTTGAATTTTCATTTTCTTTTGGACACAGTATCAACCTCTCTCCTGGGCACATCAGTGGAATGAATGGCCAGCTGTGTAGTCCATCAGATTCTTTTAACCAACCATGAATACCCCATCGCTTCATAGTTATTGCTTAAATCCCACAGCTATTCAAAATTCAATGTTGAAAAAGAAATTAAATGTAGAAGCTTATGTAATGCTAGGGGTGAGGGCCTGAGAGGTGTAACAGAATCTAGAGGGTTAAAGCAACCCTCATACAAACAAAATCTAGTTCATATAAACCAGCCCACAAGGACCAGAAAATAAATCATTCTGACTACATTATCAACATTCTCTTGGTTATGCTTCATTGTCTGTTATTCTTCCTTACCTGAATCTGTGAAGCAGCTGCAAAAGGGCTGCTAACAGTAATTTGCCTCTGTCCATGTTGAAGGCTGCTAAAAATATTACTTTACCCCACATCTCTTGAGGTCAATAGAAAAATCAAAACAAGAAAAAAGACAAATCTTGCAGACTAATAGGTCTTTTTTTTCTTGCATTTCTTCCTAGAAGAAGACAATATAAACACATAAATAATAAGAAATGCTGTTGCATTCCATCTGCAACTCACTGTTCTCATATGTACTGATCATTGTGGCTCAGCAAGACTTCCCCCAGACACCTGAAAATTGCATTTCTAGATACAGTTTTATGAGGCTTGCAAATGTGTCCTGCGCACCTCTGCCATGTCTCCTAGCTCTTAGCAAGAGAAGAAGAAAAAAGCTAAGCAAGCATGTTCTTATGATTAAGAGACTTGAGTTCTGGTTTCTGCACAGACTGATGTGTGAAACGTAGTGTATGTCGCTTCAATCTCTATGATTCTGTTGTCCACCCATAAAATGGAAGTAATTCCCATTTCCCAGGGATCATATGACATTACTTAATTTTTACAAGATAATGAAAGCCATAGATTTTTCATAAACACAAAATATTAGGCTCAGTCACTGTACCATTATTGTAGTGCTGATATGTATTTTATAGTAAAGTACAAGAATAATGTATACAAAATATAACATGAAGAGTGGTGGGGAAAAGTTTTTAGTGCTTCTATGTTCCTGCCCGTTTTCCTGAGATACATTACATTTAAAAATACACACCTGCAGTCCCCCTTCACCTGTTTCTACCACGCTAACACTAAAATTTTCCAAAGATGCCACTATTTTTTAGTGCCTGAATTTTTGAAGCCTCAACTTCAAATAAGACTTGTAAATGCATAGACCTACACTGATTCATTTTCAACAATTTCTGTGGTAATGCCAAAATAAAGCATTGGCATTTGTTTTCAATTGATTTTCTCAGCACAGTCCCACAAATGTTCCTGACCACTTTTTGCAGACTACTCTAGATTAGACTCCTGTTCTCTCTGTGCTCCTGCTTGGAGTATCCCATACAGCAATTTTCCTGTAAGTCTTGTACCTATATATAATTCCTCTATCTCGCTGCCAGGCATTATTGTATGTGATGGTGTGGTAGCCATGTTAGTCACAGGATATTAGAGAGACAAGGTGGGTGATTGACCAACTTCTGTTGGTGAGCAAGACAAGCTTGAAAACTACACAAAGCTTTCCTTCAGTACTAATATTCCCTTGCAGTACTCAGAAACTTGTCTCTCAAAAACTTGTGCCTCTCTCCAACAGAATCTGGTCCAATAAAAGACCACCTTGTGGTCACCCACCTTGTGTGTCAGAAATTAACAGCATACAACCTGTCAGAGGTATCCAATTCTCCGAGAGCAAGGTATTTACATACAAACTATTCTCTGCTTTTGATACTGAAACAGATTGATTTCTTTCATAAACAAACATGAACAACTCTCCCTTTTGTTGAAATTTTAAATGAAAATGTAATTAAAGAACTGAACTTCAGAAACTGATCAATTCTAGATTTTTTTCTTTTATTTTCTGTTTTATTTCTGTCTTTCCTTCCTCCCATCATTTTCCTCTGCTTGTTTCTCTGATTCTATGGTATTGTCTACATCAGGCTTTTTGCTAAAAAATGTTTCCCACCATTGTTACCCTACCTCCACTAGGGATAAAATGGCAGGAAAACTAGTGCCATCTCTAGTTACCAATGTTTTAACCAGTGTACAACCTGTTCCATTTAGACCTGCTCTTAAGCTGTATAAAACTACAGTGCATGCCTGGAAACCTGTCTGTGCTGGCACTTTCACCACTGTGAACTCTGAACTGCTGGTAGCAACAGTGGAACATTTTGAAAGACAAGGCCAATGTGGATACAACCGAACTATAACTCATTGTGCATGAGGAGAAATGTTGATTCAATGGGAAGAAGGAGGGAAAGACAAGGCCAATGTGGATACAACCCAACTATAACCCAACTATAATGTTGATTCAATGGGAAGAAGGAGACAAGGGCATGTTAGCAACATATAACAAATCCAGTACATATGTACTCAGTGAACCTGATGTCAGTTTTAGACCAATGGCTCTGACTCTGGAGGCCAGTGGCTTTTTCAAGTGGCCAAATTTGGAAGGGTTAATAAAAAATGGGAAGTAAGCCTTAAAAATAACCAGACAATGACACTTTGTTCATGAAAACATCCAGGATTCCCCAACTCTGGTAGTGTGCTGTAAGGACAGCAAAAGTAAGAGACATTCAGTGATGATGGGGACAAAGGTGAGGAACAGGGAATATTTTTTAATTCTGAGGGGCTATTCCCACACTACTCCAGAAGACAATGTCAGAATCACCAGGCAGCTGCTGAGGCAAGCACAGATACAGGCTGGAGCAAAGGCTCACTACTGTGGGAAAAGCAGGGGCAGGAGTAGTGTGTTGAAACTACTGGCAATAGAAACATTTCCTAACAAGTAGTGACATCAAGGAAACCAGAAAGATTGCTTCCCTTAGCTTAAGAGTTATATACATGTGCTCTGGGATCATTTGGGTGGGTCTTCATTTGTGGATGGGCTGAACCCTGGTTGAATGGGGTGGAGTTTATAACAAGATTTGCAGGTGATGGCTCATCAAGTTAAACAGGCTCCTGCTCAGCGATAATATTATGCACAGGAGATGAGAGACCCTCTGCATAAGGAATAGTACTCTTTATTATGAGTGATGTGAGTGGATTGGATTGGGTAAAAGGAAAATGGGATCTGTGAACTGGGTCGAGTGATTTAAAAGGCACAAGCATTGTTGTAAGGATTGATACAAGTAACTTGAAAGTTTGTGTATTCCCCTCTTCCCCTTGTCAACCTAAGCTCTTTCTGGTTAGCAATGAATTAATACGGTGTGGGATGCAACCCAGTAGCTGAACAACTTCTGAAAAACCAAAGACCTGCTTCCTTCTCAAAGTGAACAAACCCACAATCTCATATTCCACTAGAACCATTATGACGGGATTCCCACTTCTGCTGCATAGTTCACTCTAGGTCATTTGTTATTATGTTGGTGAATAAAGGATGGACATTCTTAAGCTTCTATGAATCTCACAACTGCCCAATATCATTGTGATCTACAACAAAATCTGTACTGTTATAAAAGGGGAGGGTCCATCATGCTGTCTGTCACAGAGAACATTTGAGAAGGCTTGAGAAGTTTCTAGGGGGAGGCAGGCCCCTTGCCCCACCTACAGCCCCATCTCCTCTGCTGAGGTCCCACCCCCACTACGAGGAGAGGAGGAGCAGCACACTGAGCATGTGTCCGTCCCCCCCCATTGGGAGGGGAAGAGCATGTGAGAACTCCAGCATCCCCAGAGCAGCGGGGAGGGAAGTGGACACAAGAGCCCAACCCCCCTCCTCACCTCCAAGAGAAATGTGGAGGGAAAAGGATGCAGGGGCCCAATCTCTTGCCTCCTCCCCGAGAGCAGCGGGAAGGGAAAAGTCTGCATGGGCTGAACCTCCCTCCCCACCAAGAGCAGTGGGAAGGGAGGACGCCATATGTGTGCGCCTCCACCATCATGGGGAGGGGAAGAGCACATGCGCCCCAGCATCCCCGGAGCAGTGGAAGAGGGAAGAGGACATAGGAACAGTTTTATTACCATTTCAAAAGCCATGTCTATTTATCACACTAAGCTACTTATATCTAGTAATAGTTAATTAATTCATGGGCCAATCAGTCTTTTTACTAGCAGGAACCTATCTAGTTGGCTTTTGTAACCGTTTCTTTCCCTGTGTCTTGAAGGTATCATGAGCAATGAATTGCTCTCTCGACCCTGGTATATACTAGGGATTTATTTCAAAATAACTCCCCTTATTTTGAAATAACAAGCAGAGCATCTATACTACCAAGCCAATTATTTCAAAATAACGGGCTGATTATTTCAAAATAATAATTCCTGCTTTGCACAAGGAATCAGGCTTATTTCAAAATAGCAGTTGTGTGGATGCTCCTTTGCTGGTATTTTGAAATAACTACTCCCCAGAGTCATTCAAAGTAATTGCTCCCCAGTGCTTCCTGAGGCTCTAATTTGAGGTAGTGCATCCACATTGATAGAGCCTGGCTTGGACTAATTTCAAGGCTTCCCTGTAGTCTGAACACTCTATTTTGAAATAGTTATTTCAGGAGTTATTATTTCAAAAGAAGCTATTTTGAAATAATTTCCTGGTATAGACATGCCCTCAACCACTCCTGCAATTTAACAATGAAGCTTTCCTCTAATATGGACAGGGCCCCTCTACTGAGGAAAGGTGCTCAGCAGTGATCCTCTATCCCTATAACTCCAATGCAAATTTATCAGGGTATTACTAAAATATTATAAACAAGACTTCTGGGACTTTGGCTGGTATGTTCAGAAGCCCAATGTCCACCTGTAGGCCTACATATAAATGTCTGTTTCCCCTACAAATGCCTGAAATAAAAGAAGGTCTTTAATGCTTTGTTCTGACCTGTCCCATTCCATCTTCCACCCAAAATGGTAAATTTTAACTTTCTTTTAAAAATATTTTGATGAGGTTTGATATTCCTTTGTGTAGTAATGTGCAGCCTTCAAACAAGAAATGAAAAAGAAATTGTAGAAATAAAGGAAACAGTGCATGAGCCACCTTTATCTACATCCATGTTACATTTTTAAAACTCCGGAAAAATACTTTATTCTCATTAACCCTTTCTTCTTTAGTTTCCTTTTCAGATACTGCTACAACACAGCGTCAGAACAAAAAGAGCACAAAGAAAAGTACTTAATGTAGGCTCAAAACCTACATACAAAGGAAAAAAAGTGAAGGACATTATTCTCTTGGAACTAAAGGAGATAAAGAGGAAGACTCCATTGTGGAGAACTTGAAGCAGGAGTGAAAGAGGAAAGGAGACTGGAGGAGAAGGAGGATTACTTCAGACTGCTATCAAGAGCAGCAAAGAATACATATAGACTTCACCGCAGGATAGAACAAAAATAAGAGAGTGAAGGAAAGCATTGAACATGAAAAGGAAATGAGACAGTTGAAAATGAAGCAACACTGGACAGCCATCTGTCAGATGATTAAAAATGTTTGGAGAATACATGTTAGCCAGTACACTGGAAACAAAGTGTCAGTGCAGCCAGGCATTGCCTACCACCAACACATTAAGCCAAGCCACACCACATGACAGATATGGCATTATTCTCAACAAACTTTATGGAGTTAAGATAAAGTATCTTAGGAGGTCATTATAGTAACAAATACAAATGTGTATGTATTATCAAGGGGTGGTATATAACTTTTAAGGGGGATGCAAGACTAATCTAAACATTGGGAAATGTTATCCGCTTCAAACAACTTTTACAACAGTGGAAAAGATAAGCTTGAACTTTTAGTTGAGTGGTATTCTTAGGAAATACTTGGGAAGAGAGAGAATGTAAATTACTCACTTCTAGAACTATGCTTTTGAAGCTGCAGTTTGAAGAAAAACTTATTATCTGCCTGATTACCTATTCACAGTCTTTTCAAAGGCCCAAATTGGGTAATAGAAGGACTCACAGGGGAGGTAGTTCTAATGTGGATAGGAGATAGCAGCTGGTGACCTCAGGAAAAAAACCTGTGTGGGGTTTGAAGAACTAATCACCAGCCAGACCCATTGTAGGAATGAGAGTAATCTCTGGTAAGCTTATTAGCATGTATGTAGGTTCTTACTCTTTTGATATGTTTTCTCTGTAAGACTTTTACCTTAAGAATAAAAATGCTTGCTTAGAAAGAATTGTTTGATAACTTTTAATTGTTGGCATTAACACTGTCTACCATCTCTGAGGAGGAAAAATAAAGCAGGCTAGCTTAGGTAACAGGACTTTGCTGGGGAGGTCACAGTATAGGCAGAGAGTTGTGCTGATGTGTTGCTACCTAAAAGAGGTGATGACAGAGGAGATTAGAACCACAGAGTGGGTGTAGAACCACAGAACCTTATGACCGTAGAAGGGGAATACAGATGTGCAGTTGCCAATGCTAATGACGTCTCCTGTGTGAATTTAATCATTTTGGAATGCTCTTCTATCTGTCTCATAGCCAACTCCCTAATCTCTTAATAAATGCCTCCAAAAGGACAGTAAAAGCCCACCCTACACCCTAATACTTCCAATTATATTTGTCAGTTTACAAAAACAATTTTGGTGCCTGTGATTTTTAGTAATCCATCTAGCGATAAAGCAATGCATTATACCCAGATGGGATGGTTTTATTTTGCACCAATGCTGCTGTTTTTTCTTTGCTGGTTTTTAAGCCTTTTTCACATGTTACTTTTTTCTAGTTAACAAAATGAACCTGGTATTCTCATTTTTAAGATCGGGTTCTCAGGTGGAGTAAATTGGTGTAAGTCTGTTGACTTTACTCATTGCATGCCAGCTGAGGATCTGGCCCTGGAACCTCAATACTAACTGTGATAGTCTGTTCTATGGTCAGTTTACAAATATTAATTCACTGTCTCCTGACCTCCCCCCTTACAAAAAACACAGCAGAAGCAACTGTAGCATTCTCTCTCCAGCTAGCATCAACATCACTGCTCATTCTGAGTCATTCTCTTGACTCACAGATATTAGTATTAGAATAAATATAGCCTGCTCTCTCTTTCTTCTGTGTAGGGTAACTGTCTTGAGATGCTATTGTACTGCTGCAGTGCTTGAGCATAGACACTCCCTATGCCAATGAGAGGTTCTCTATCTCCTTTGAGAAGTGGTAGGAAAAGTGATGGAAGAATTCTGTCAACCTAGCAATTTCTACACATAGACTTAGGTTGGCTTAGCAAGGCATCTCAAAGATGTAGACCAGGCCTGAATTTGCTTTTGCGAAAGTTAGCATATCTATCTAGACCAGTAGTTAAAGACAGCTCTGAAACATTTAAGAAATACTGTAGCTAATGGTTCTCATCGGCTGTGTCTAGACTGGCCAGTTTTTCCGGAAAATCAGCCACTTTTCCAGAAAAACTTGCCAGCTGTCTACACTGGCCGCTTGAATTTCCGCAAAAGCACTGACTTCCTACTGTAAGAAATCAGTGCTTCTTGTGGAAATACTATGTTGCTCCCATTCGGGCAAAAGTCCCTTTTGCGCAAAACTTTTGCGCAAAAGGGCCAGTGTAGACAGCTGAGATTTGTTTTGTGCAAAAAAGCCCCGATCGTGAAAATGGCGATTGCGGCTTTTTTGCGCAAAAGTGCGTCTCGATTGGCCATGGACGCTTTTCCGCAAAAAAGTGCTTTTGAGGAAAAGCGTCCGTGCCAATCTAGATGCTCTTTTCCGAAAATGCTTTTAACGGAAAACTTTTCCATTAAAAGCATTTCTGGAAAATCATGCCAGTCTAGACGTAGCCATCCTGTTTTATTTTTCTCTCCAAGGAAAGGTAGCATTCCACTTAATTCTTGATTAATCACTCTAACATCATAAATGCTTTGTCTTTTTTTGTTGGCCAGTTGCAGCTCCAAGTCATGACATCTGTTTTTAAATACTGAGGTAATGGTAGAGAGGGCAAAATTTCACATCACAGTTTTTAAGTTCAATAATCACAAATTTTGTAAGCAATTTAAAACTTGATCCTGGCCCAGCAAATCTTACAGGAGTGAGGATTACAAATTGGACCACTCCTGTTATATTACATAGATTCCCAATCAGAACTCACAAACCATACAGATGAAATGTAGCTTGTGCTGCCCTGTACACCCTCCCATTCTACCAGAGTGCAGGGACAGAGCCTGGGGCTTTTGCTCTGTGGCAAGAGGGTGGTGCTAGACACAGGCTTCTACCAGATGACTGGTGCCTGGTGGGAGGAGGCATTATTTAAAGGTTTGCCCCTCTCCCCAACATGTTCCCTCAAGCATGCCCTAATCTTATCCTCCGCATTACTTCCCTGTCATTTCTAGCAAAATGCAGGACAATGTAGCACTTTAAAGACTAACAAGATGGTTTATTAGATGATGCGCTTTCGTGGGCCAGACCCACTTCCTCAGATCAAATAGTGGAAGAAAGTAGTCACAACCATATATACCAAAGGAAACAATTAAAAAAAATGAACACATATGAAAAGGACAAATCACATTTCAGAACAGGAGGGGGATGCAGC